CTGAAGCACCTGCTGCAGAGGGTCAAGGACTGCAGCCTCCAATATGGATTGAGGCTCAATGTCAAGAAGACAAAGATTCTCACCACTGGGCCAATTGATAGCATCAGGATGGGTGGCGAAGAGATTGAGATTGTTCACAGCTTTAGTTTGCTTGGCTCCACAGTTAACACTCTTGGTACCAGTAGCCAGGAAATTAAAATGTGCATTTCCATGGGAAAGAATGGGTTAGAAAATGTATATGAAAGATTTCTTAATTTACAAAAGATTTCATTGTAAGATTTCTGCGTGGACTTGATTCATAAACATTTATTTTATATGAAAGTTTTTCTACAATATGCCATGCTTTGAAAAATTGAACATTTTTCACCAGGGACACTACATATCAGTCTCTAGGAAAGTTAGCCATGTTGATGATAGGAGCTCAGTATTTTTCACTTGAGATGATCAGAAAGAGGAAGACCCTGAACAAGGTGGATTCACATGGTGACTGCAGCAATGGGCTCAAGTGTATAAGAGATGATGAGGACCACATAAGATAGGACAGGGTTCTGCTCTGTTGTTCATGGGGTCGCTGTGAGTAGACTTGACGGTACCTCACAGCTTCAGAATTTACTGCTGTGATAGTCATGGAGTTGTATAACCAGCAAATTCAACCAACTAATTTAAGATTTTCATCACCCTCAAAAGAAAATCCTTATCATATAGTCCTCACTCCCTCTCCTCCCTAACCCCTTGCAACCATTTGCTCATTTCATTGCTGTTGAGTCAGAAGTGATTCATGGTTGACCAGTGGATTTTTAGAGGCTGTAAACTTCACAGGAGGAGATTGCTCATCTTTTGAGGAGCAGCTGATGGATCTAGACCACGTGCCTTTGGATTGGCAGCACAGCTCCTTACCCACTAGGCCACAGAGCTCCCTTTGCTGAGCACCAGTCTACCCTTCTATCACCATAGATTCCCATATTTTGGACACACAAATCTTGGCAGCCTTACAATAAGGACCTTCTTTGACTGACTTCTTTACTGAGCTTAATGTTTGAAAGGTTTATCTATGCTACAATGTTTATCAGAGCTTTGCTACTTTTTATATTTGGATAATATTGTATAGACTGCCAAGAGAACAAACAGGTTTATCCTAGAGAAGATGAAACCAGGATGTTCCTTGTAAGACTGGGATGCTCCTCGGAGGCAACGAGTTTGAAGCTCCATCTCCATACATTGGGCATGTGGCCAGGAGGAACCAGTCCCTGGAAAAGGCATCAAATCTGGAAAGGTAGAGGGACAGCACAGGAGAGGAAAACCCTGGATAAGATGGGCTGACACAATAACTGGGGTAATAGGTGTAGGTGTGTCTGACTGGCTCAGGATAGAGTTCAGAGCTATTGTACATAGGGTTGACTGGGGTAATAGGGGTAGGTGTGTCTGACTGGCTCAGGATAGAGTTCAGAGCTACTGTACATAGGGTCGCTATGAGTTGCAGGCAACTTTATGGCACATAAAAATAACTCCACCATATTTTATGTACTGATGCCTTTCTTCTCTCGCTTCCTGTTGCAACAACAGACTGTGCTGGTGCTATTAATAATTAAAAAAATATAGCTTTGAAATCCTACGAAAGGACACCAGGAATCAAAAAGGGACTGATCCAACAGCAGTGGGGGGGAAAATGACTAATAAATTTGAGCATCAGTAAATGTTTCTTGGCCATTTGTATAACAGTTTTTTAATTTATTTAATCTTTTGCTTTTCCTTTAAATTGGATTTTATGTTGAGTTGCAGTACTTCTATCATTTTCACTCTCTGGATGATTTTGAGTTATTGTTTGGTATTAAATTATCCATGTGAGGTAGATGTTCAACCTTATTCTTTTTCATGTAGATATATACTTATCCCAGCACCAGTTATTTCCTTCTCTTTGAGAGATATTTACTGAAATAAACAGAATTGATTTTCAGGAGCCTAATAAACCCACTTTTGAGGTCTGGGTTGAGTAATGTTGTTGTACGTGCCGTCGAATAATCACCTATGACTCATAGCAACCTTATGTACAAGAGCCTTAAACGCTGCTCTCTCCTGTGCCAACCTCACCATCTCCGACACACTCATTCTCACAACCCCAATCACAGAATCAATCCATCTCGTCATTCCTCTCCTGCACCCTCCCTCCACTCTCCCAAACATGATGTCCCTCTCCAAGGACCAGTCCCTCCTTGCAACATGCCTGAAGTATGTCAGATGAAGCTTTAGAATCCTTGACTTCAAAGAGCATTCTGGTTTCACTCTCTCCAGGACAAACCTGTTTATTCTCCTAGCAGTCCATGGTATATTCAACACTCTTCTTTGGTACCACAGCTCAAAGGCATCAATTCTCTATCATCCCTATTCACTGTCCAACTCTCTGATGCATAGCACGTAATTGTGACGACTACTATAGCCTGGATCAGGTGCACCTTAGTCTCCAGCCTGACTAGACATTAGTATTATTCAGTGATGACTGACCTCTGGGTGAATACAAATTCCATGCTCTTCATTTTTGACAGGGAATGGTAAACCCAGGAAACTGCTGTAAACCTCTGGAGTTCCCAAATCAAACCCCAAAATTATGTTCCCTCACATTCTGAGAAATGGCAAAGTTTAGACGGCCAGAGTCATGTTGAGGCATGAATGTTACTAGTTAGACTGCACAAGTGGTTTAGACCTTGGTAAGCTTGGATCTACTCCCTGGTACATGTGCTCCTCCCCCAAATGTGAAAAAGACACCTTCCCTGAAGCCTGTAGGATTTGCCTCTCTTCTTGTTCACCTGACGTTTGATTTCTGCTTCCCTGTTACAGAAAAGAAGAAGAAAACCTCAACCAAGGGAAAAAAGTCTCTGTTTATTTCGAAGAAACAGATTAACACTTCCCAATGGTAAGGTTCACAAGCAGGTTGCTTGGAGAGAAAAGTTTTCTCGAGGGCTTCGAACTAGTTCCTCTTTGAGTGTATTTTATGCAAAGGACTAGGACATGGACCCTAATGCCAAAGTTAATTGAGATTTTTGGGACATATTTACAGCCTCTAGTGATAAATTAACTTTCAACATATAAGCAAATAATGTTTTGTTTTTAATGGAAGAATTAATATAAGCTTATGTTTTATTGCAAACCCATCATGGGAAAGGGATGGCTTTTCACATCCTATCTCTCAAAACTGGTCCACATCTTTAATTTCTAGGTGTCATAATCAAGACATGTGCATTTTAATTTTACACATAAATAAAATTCTGTATACTAATGATTTTATTTAAAAAGGGAATCACATTTTATAGGTGAGA